AATTCTTGGGGAAGTACATCTCCATTGCATTATCAGGTGAAGGTACCTGCATGACACTGTTGGCAGAAACTGGCATATTTTTGTCCTTGTCCTCAAATTAAACTGAACCCTGCCATAATCTGCCTCTGTGGGGAAAGTAGTGAAATATTAGATCAAAGTAGTGTAATATCTTTGAAAATTATTTCACACACATTTATATTTTATACATGCGGATTTTAATGCAAGAATTTTGTTGAGATAACAATGTCCAAACTATTAAAGTAGGAACATTTTAAAGTTGTTGTTTTCATAAAAATAATCTGTTATTTATTAATTCTGGAAGTGTCCTTGTGTTAAAAAAAGTAAAATATATTTCTGAAATTTGAAAATCAAGATTGTCATCTTTCATATTCTTTCAAAAATGTTACTAAATTAGTAGCTGTAAATAACTAAGTCTTGAATAATTTAAATAAATTTTCTTTTATCTTCCTTTTCATATTTTTTAATAATCATCAATATTGTCTTCAGGTTTTCCATAAGATTCTTCATTGATTTTCATTAACAATTCACTTTTATTGAAAGTCCAACAAATTATCAGATGTTGAATCCATTCTTGTTTCATTTTAAAATGAAGTCGCTATTAATTGGTTGGTAAAATATTTTCACTTCATTGTTTGTTTTAAGGTTAAATATATATATATATATATATATATATATATATATATATATAATTAGTATCACCCCATTCAAGGCAGTAAAGCCACTAAGACACAGGATTTAGAAGAATTAGGAACAGAAACATTAATAATGAACAGGAAGAGGAAAGAGTAATTGGGAGGACATTAGATAGCAATTGACATTGCATTTAAATTTTTGCAGATTAAAGTTGGCCGGAAAGCATGGAGCCAGAAGGGGACACAACTGGTGCTTAACAGGCTGACTGATTCTCTGTTACAGAGCTCATCCAAACAATTACGATGAAAGAATTTATAGAAAAGACAAAGGGAGACAACCTTACAGTGGGAAAGTGACTGAATCTGAGCCGTCAGACCAGGACCAATAATATTGCAGATTCTTCTTTGAATTTTACTAAGGATCTCTAAATATATAGCAGGAGCATCAAGCCATAAGTGGCAGCAATATTCTAAGCATGGACAAATTGTCGACTTATAGATATACTTAGGTTATTGTTAATAATATTCAGATAATGTTTCATTTAAAACTTACATTAGTGACACAAGTTTATTTCTTTAATATTTGTAAATTTCAAATTACCATGATAGTGGAATGATTTCCATGAATTCAGAGTTGTCTGACTTTTTGGTTAAAAGTTCTGTGTGATTGAATTTAACATTTTGAATTTGACTTTTATTATCTTATTAACAAAATAATTATTGGCTGATGAGTTTCAGTAAACAAAAAGAAATAATCCACTGATAATGGAATTCCTCAGAGACTTTCACCAAATATTATATAACTCATTAAACGGAGAAATTAGTAACTACGATTTGGAAATGTTCAATGAAGATGTTAATCACAGTTCACATTTCATATTCTTCAAAAATACACACTTATATTCAATTGTTTAAAGTTTGCTGTATTTATGGAACACAGTACTTAATCATTTTACTACCAAGCAAGATGTTAATGCCACTAGTGTGCAGGGTACTTACAGAGAATGAAAGAGAGAAGACAGTATATAGGGAGGATTGAGAAAAGGACAAAAGATGAATCGGATTCAAGAAGATAGAAAATGGTGATTGACGTTGCATTTAAATTTCTAAAGATTGTAGTTACTTGAAGGGAGTTCCATTGGTGTGAAGTGCAAGAAAAATTGAAGTAGAAGTGGCAGTTACATTTAGCTATTTCAACAGGAAAATTGTGGGACCTAGTTGCCAAGCTAGTAACATGTTTAAATTCATGTAGTCAGGGCACCAGGGAAAAAAGCTTGTCAGAGCAGTTTCCATGAAAATATTTGTAGAAAAGACAGAGGGAAACCATACCATGTCATTGAGAAAGTGACTGAAGTCAAGATGCCTGGTCAGGATCAATTACATTGCAAATCTCTCTTTGGATTTTGTCAAGATCTGCTCAATTTTTCATATTCAAAACCTAAACAAAGTAATTTCTAAGGAATCAATGGATTTTTTTATCTGACATTACGCCTTAGAAATTTACAGTGTTTACATTTTAGGCACGAAAAATGAGCAGATATAGGTTTTTGAGAAGATCTGAACTAGAAAAGGTGCATTCATCAGAAGGGTAATTGAATCTTGCTGAGTTGTGATACTCTCTGTGGCTGAGTGGTTTAAAACATTGCTGAATCAGATGGGGAACACAGGTTCAAGCTCTGCTAGAGAGCACATTTTCTTGATTAAATCTCACAAATGTGTAGGCTGGTAAACACTACTGGCACTGTTTTTTTGTTAAAGTGTGTTTCAGCTGGAAGAATAAAAAGAAAGTCTTGTTGAAACTTTCAACTCAAACTGACAAAGATAAAAATACAAATGCTTTTTGCTTTCTATTGTTAATTTTCATTGCAACTAAAATTATAGACTTCATTATTCAAGGAATGACTCTTAACCACACAGCTATGTCTGGAAAAAAATCCTCTAGGT